TGGGGGAATCTCTGTCCATGAAGCTAACTGAGCCCACACTCAACCAAGAGCACAGACTTTACAGAATCCATTCAGTAAAAAATCAGAAAAAAAAACCCTGAAAAATCCCAGACAGAGAATGAGGAATCTGTTTTCAGGATTGTCATTTTATACTCTTTAAAATAATCTTAACAAAAAAAAATTAGAGAGATACATGTTCAAAGTACTAAAATAAATTATTCTAAGAACTAAAAGTGTTAGAGTCATGTCTTACCAAATACAAATGTGTAATAAAGAATAGTTTTTAAATTAAATATAAAATTTGGGCTTGAAAATTACAGTTGAAAATTAAAATTCACTAGATGGGTTTAATAGACAATCTGAGCTGACAGAAGAAAGAAATTACGAGTTGTAAGAAAGAGCAATTGCAATGATCTAGTCTGAGGACGAAACAGAAGAAAGATTGGAAAAAACGAACAAAGCATCAGAGCACATCGAGCTCACCAACATGTGCAAAACAGGAGTCCAACAGGAAGAGAGGCATTGGGAAATGAGAGAATGCTTGGAAGAGATAATGGTCACAGCTTGATGCATAATATTAATCTATAGCCCAAGAAGATCAATGAGCTCCAAATAGGATGCAAAGTGCGACATCCAACACATCATATCCAAGCTGTCAAACACCATAGAAAAAAATGAAAATCTTTAAAACAGAAGAAAGAAAAGACTCATTGTAATACCAGTCCTTAATATGATTTCCCATCAGAAATGATGGTGGACAGAAGGAAATAAATAGGGTAACAAGCGTGTTGAAAGAAAAAGACAGCAAAACTATACATTAAAAGAGGAAAAATGAAGGTATCTCCAGGTGAAAAGGAATTTGTTGCAAGAAGCCATGTCCTATTTGATTTTTTAAAATAACTGCATAAAGTAATAATTATAAAGATACAGTGACGGCCTTATAATGAATAAAATGTTTGTTATTCAGTAACGGGAAGGAATATATGTCTTAGCATGAATAATTCTAACAAGCAATATATAAAAATATTTCCCAGGTAATATCATCACCATGTTGAACATCTTTTTAGAAAGGACTTTCAATAAATGGCTGAAAGGGTTTGTAAAATGTGCTAAGTGGAAAAGACAGAACAAAGGCCATACACTGAATCACCCCCATGGTAGCCAATGAAGCAATGGGGATGGGAGTGACGGCTCATGCTGCAGGCTTTCTTCTGAGAATAATAAAAACATTATAAAATTAATTAGTGGTGATAATTTCACTTTTTGAATACCCTAAAATTACCAAGCCGTAGACTTTTAAAAGGTAGAATTTATGATATGTAACAATATTTATGATATGTATTGGCTATCTCTCTCCTCCCATTTTTCATAAGTGTGACTCAGCTAAGTGTCAGCCAGTAGACTATTAGGGTAACAAGAAAGCCTTGAATTGGCAGTTAGTTCTGCTCATTTGGAAGGAAAGAGTCACCACTGGCTTATAAATTATGTGATCAAATCAAAATGCACCAAAGGAGGCAAGCCTGAAAAGCCACATGCCTACGGGCCTCACAACACTCATGAGCATCAGTAAGTCAAGAACTCCTCCTAAGGACATCCACCTAGACCAGCCTCTGTGCTTCTGTTTTCTCTGAACCACGGGGTCCCTAATCTCCTTGAAATGAAATGAAACTCTTTGTCAGCAGTGACTGTGGTACATTCCCATACTCTGCATATCTGGGGGGCGGGGCAGTCACTGCTTCATAAGCAGTTAGGAATAGACCATCTGGAAACCCAACAGAAGATTTTCATTTCATGAAAAGACATCCTCATGATGGCTTCTGGTTACTTTGATACAAAGCTTGCCAAAAATGTGATAGGGCTTACTTTTGAAGTGTTATCCTCAACTAACTCAAGATTTAGCCAGTTGGCCAAAACTGGCTCCTCTCCTTGTTTCTGAAGAATCACAGAATATGGAAAGTCCATGTTCCCTTCTACAAGGGATCTGAAGGCCCAGCCTTATTCAGACATAACTCACAGAGCTAGGGGCTCCAGCCCTGTACTCCACTCTGTCCTTCCTCCTGCTATGTCCTCTGTGCAGGTTTGTAAGCTCTCCTTTGTTCCAAACTGCATTCCAGTACAATCTGTTTCCTGGCCCATGGACCATACCCCGTAAAACCTGTTTGAATTAAAACGTAGAGAAATGAGTGGCTTAAATGAGAGCAAATTCTAGCTAGAAAGCCAAGGCCTTTCAAACAAAATGTCCTCAGCATGACTCATCAAGGTAAAGGTGCTTTTGTTGAAAACTGGGGACTTTTTTAGCTCGTTTATGTTGCTGTAACCAATGGCTTCAAAAAACAGACATTTGTTTCTTTTACACTATTCTCATAGCACAATCATTCTCTTAAAGCCCAATCTAATACCATCAAATTGAGGATTTAGGGTTTCACATACAAATTTTGGGGGAAAAATAATCTATAATAAGGGTTCAAGCCAAATACTAAGCCTGTGGAAGATGGTGGATGGTTTTCTCATTTTCTTATGCCAGGATCTTAATCTAGAGAGCAGATGGGCTTTGTATATAGCCCAGAGTTCCCTGAAGGTACCTGCTGCGTCAGAACACACCTGCCTCTAATGTTGCACTTCCCAGGCCTGGCACTGTTAGCAAAGCTGCCAAATGAAGAACCATGCTTTCTACCATACCACATCTACCCATCTGCCCACAGCGTTGCCATGCAGTAGGGCTGGAAGAGACTCATTATCCTTCCTTGTGAACTCCTCCTCCTGACACTGTGCAGTTAGTGGACACCAAACAATGCTAGTGAAATGGCCGCTGAGATGGAAGCTGCTGGGTAAGGGTCTTTCTCTCCCCACTTACCATCATGAGCTGCCATTTGCTCCAACTAAGGAATACATTATCTCACACGTTTCTGAGGAAAGAACAAATGGCATTTGTTTCCAAGAAGAGGATTTGAAACATACATACACACACACACACACACACACACACACACACACACACACACACACACACAACATACAGAGGGTGAGAGGAGAGAAATTAATTATCTTACAAATTTTTTTTCTCTGAAAGTAACCAATCAGACAGTCTCTAACAGACACAGGAAAATAGATACATTGAAAGCATTTCATCTAAGGTGTCTCATATATAATCCTATACATTTTATAAATTGTTATAACCAGTTGCAAATAGCCCATGAACAATATCTGTGTCCAAAGATAAAAATACATTATGTAAGCCAGGCATGGTGGTGCATGCCTTTAATCCCAGCACTCAGGAGGCAGAGGCAGGTGGATCTCTGTGAGTTCAAGGCCAGCCTGGTCCACATAGTGAGTTCCAGGACAGCTGGGGTTACAGGGAGACCCTGTCTCAAAAAGACCAAAAAACAATTATGTAAATTAAAACATTATTAAAATTTAGTTATGTTCTTTTCTAAAAAAAGATTTATTTTATGTATATTTGTGAGTATCTACATGTATGTATGTGCACCAGATAGATACCTGGTGCCTTCAGGGTCTGAGAAAGAGTGTAAAATCCCCTGGAACTGGAATTACAGGCAGTTGTGAACTACCATGTGGGTGCCAAGAATTGAACCCACATTCTCTGCAAGTGCTATTAACTGCTGAGCCATCTCTCCAATCCCATTGGTCATGTTCTTGACAACTTTTTTCCTTTGAAAATGTAGGAAACAAATGGTAAACTCAAGTAAGGGATGCCCTCAGCATATGTACGTGAATCAATCATAAGCCTCATTATTATTAACTGTACTAAATTGTTCTAATGAAGCAAATGTCAACTTGGCTCAAATTCCCTCTTCCCCTAGAAACCCTGTGATTGAATTTCTGGGTGCCACTGGACTTTCTTAGGGGTCCCTATCATCTAGGCAAGGTCTTGGCCGCACTTGTACTTTTTACCCATTTCTCTCATTATGAAAGGAGAGTCATTGGCTAAATATGGAGGTAGCAGGGTGCTCTGGGTATCAGGCAGGGTGAGTGAAGCAAGGTTCACACCTAAGACCATGCACCGAGGCCCGAGGACACAGCACACAGGTGTATTACGGCTACAGCATTTAGCATTTGATATCTTTGTTTTTCCACACGTGTGCATTACTATTTTCAGCTTATTTCTGACAGATTTTGAGCTAGCCGAAAACAGAAAATGCCATATTAATCCATGTGTGGCTTCTGCCCAGTAAAGGCCTGTGAACTGAATAAATGCTGTAAAGGAAGCAGAAAAGCAACATTCCCCTACCCCCTACCAAGCAGCCCTGCGTCAGAGTTTCCTGGTTCCTCACTGATGGTCACTGTAGTGAGGACAGGAAGACGATGAATGGATGGTCCTGGTTCGGTCACCTCCCCTGGTTGTGAAAACAGCAGCATGCTTCAGCTGTGCATCACAACCCTGCAAGGATAAAAGGGCTCCTGCCCTGAGCTCCTTACCCACAGCCTCCCAGCCACAGCCCTCCTTCTGCCTCTCCTGCAGCAGGTAAGTGTGCAGCAGGAGACAGCCTCAGCTGGGAGTGTGGGGGGAAGTCAGGCCCAGACCTCCCTGTGGAGACTGAAGCAGAGGTGACTGAGGGGGAGGCAGCAGAAGGAGGACCTGCCAGGGGACAGGAGACCGACCCGGTGGGAGGCAGAGACAGGAGCCTCCGAGAGATGCGCCAGAGTCTGTGACAGAGTCCTGGCTCTCAGCAGTCTCTCCACTCTTCTGAGAGATCAGCATATGGCCAGAGAATTCTCCAGGAGTCCTTTTCCAACTACCTGTGTTGGCTTAATGGACTTGGGGCCTAGTTAGAACCAGCATTCTCCCCTGGAAGCAGGGCAGAGTGGAAGGAAATGCCTTCCGGGTCATGGAGACCACTTACCTTTTTCTTTCCGGAAGATCACAGCTCAGGGAGCAGCTGGTCTTAGGACCAAGGGCTTTATAAACCATTCCTACAGGACATCTAAAGCTTTGCACTGTCGTTTTCTTTGATTGTCCAGGCTCATTGACTCCTGCCGAGATGTCCTGCCAGCAGAGCCAGAAGCAGTGCCAGCCGCCTCCCAAGTGCCCCTCACCCAAGTGTCCCCCGAAGAGCACAGCACAGTGTCTGCCTGCAGCCTCCTCCTGCTGTGCTACAAGCTCTGGGGGCTGCAGTGGCCTTGGCGGCTCTGAGGGCGGCTGCTGCCTGAGCCACCACAGGCGCAGGTCCCACCGATGCAGGCACCGGAGCTCCAGTTCCTGTGACCGTGGCAGTGGTCAGCAGTCCGGGGGCTCTGGTTGTGGCCACAGCTCTGGGGGCTGCTGCTGACCTGGATCCTGATGCTGAGACAAGAGTTCAGGGGAAACAAGAACCCTGAGGACCCCATCCCGAATCATTCTTTGCAGAGCACCTGCTGGCTACTCCTATCCGGGGTTCCAAGCTCTTCCAGAAGCCTCTCTGTTTGATGCCCAGGATTCCACAGTCCCTGCCTCTGCTCCAGCTGAGGATTGCATATATCCTACACACATCTCTATCAAAAATAAAGAGTCTCGTGTTGTAAATGTTAGAATCTCACTATTCATTTCAGTCTGTCTGAGATCACCAGTCCACTTGGGTACTTTCCAATAGTTCCTTGTCCAGCACAACAGCTCTGAGACAAATGCTTAGCTCTGCACAGACAATAAAAATAGCAGCTGTTCTTCCCCTCTGCTCCTTGGAAGGGCTGCAGAGAGTTTTATCACAGGATGAGTGGGGGAGAAAGATGTGGGTTGTTGGCTTGGTGCTCTGAAATCTTTGAAAGGCTGATTTTTTTTTTTCCTCAGAAATTTCTAATCTATGGTATGATGCTTATTTTCATAAGCTGTCTTTAAGATCCTAATTACAGGAGAAATAAAATCATAAGGCAAAGAAATAGATATTAGGCAGAGGATGTACAGAAAAATAATACCTAGGGGCTGGTGATAGAGCTCGGTGATGAGCATTTCCTCAGCGTATTAGTATAGGAGAAACCCTAGTCTGATCCCAGAACCACTAGATAGATAAATAAACAAACAAAGCAAAGATGGAAGAGGGCAAAGCTTGACCGAGGGAGGTCATTAACGTAAGTACTTTATGAAGATCAAAGGAAAAAGACGAAATCTTAGAGGATTGTTTACTTTAATAAGGTTAAGGGGCAGTAGTTGAAAGTTTGGAGTTTAGTCAAAGAGGTGACTGTAGTATGCAAAATGAATATTTAGAAAAGGATAATGAGAAATGTTGCCAGAATTATAAGTATACAATATAAAAAGGAAACAATGGTGATCGTTAAACACTACACTACCCTGACACGGGAGTTAGAACCTTAATAGAGGCGTGCGTGACCTAAATTGCGAAATTAAGGTGCTTCTGAGGTTGAAATCATGTTCCTGCATGTGAGCAAGAAAGCATCTCACTTGGAAAGACAGAGAAATGCTGGCCCAGCTCTCCAGCTGCAGTTAAATTGCAAATATTAAGAAAATTGATCATGAAGGCTGAGTAGAAAAAGCAAAGAGAGAAATACTACAGAAAACTATACATCCAGTGAACTGAAAAGTAATTTGAATAAGCCCTGGAGTTCAAAAATACCCTGGGAGAAGTTTAATACCAGACATCTACCAACCAGATCTAAAAGACGAGATATTTATTGAAGTAGGAGCCACAGCTCTGGCTGTAAAGTTGAGTTTGAGATCACTGGGGGCAGGAACAGCCCGCAGGCTATAGAAGGGAAGGGCGGGCCCTCATGGAGGGAAGAGCTGTGAGTACCTGTGTCAACCTGAGAAGTGTGACACATTGCATGTGAGTGACACCAATGCAAACATCCAGCAGCTCCCTGCAACCTGAGACCATGTGCCTCAGGCTGGAACTAGAGGATCAGAACCTGCCATCTGACAAGGACGTCAGCGCTCAGCTCAGGCACCTCCAACCTACTTCAGCAACAGAGCTCCTGCTGTGCCAAGTCTGCTCTGAAGGCAGAGAAACTCACTCCAAAAAGTAACTGCGACACCAAGAGCTGAGGAGCTAGACACAACGAAAGAACAGAAGAAATCCTAGAAGTAAAGACCACAGCCCCAAACCTCAACAGGGTAACAAAGTTCCAACTCCTTGGCCCATTTACTCATCTAACACCCTCTCATTCTATCTGCTACCCATTCAGCTCTGAGTCCTAGAGATTCAGCAGGGAATCAGAGAGGCAGAATTTCATCACTTGGGAAGCCACATAAAAGTTAGAACCAAGTTCCTGATATTATAAGCAACACAGAGAGAAACCCCATAGCCCAGACCTCAGGTAGCCTCTCATCCTCTGGAGGCAAGTGGCACTGGTATTTACTAATAAATACTGAGAGGACACCAGCTTGGACAAAGCTTTGAGACAGTGTCTTTGACAGTGACAAAGCATTTCCCAGCTTCCACACCAATCACATGTGAGCACCAACAACATGAAATTAGTGCACAAGCAGGTCTCTGGCCCCAAGTCGTTCATCTACCTCCCTTGCTTCCTCTCTCCACAGCCCCACAGACACCTCACGGGTGCTCTTTTCTTTTTCATGACTATTACCTATTCATCACCTCATGGGGTAGCCTTCACCTGCAAGTCTTCCTGTAGCAAGATAATTTAACACAGAATTTTCTGTAATGTCTACTAAAAATGATAATGCTTTGTCAACTTTGTAATCAATATTTGTGATTTAAAATATTCGTTCCATTCTTGAATACGATATTCAGGAAACAATGTGTCTCTAGTACTATAATAAAACGCAATGGGAAAACACTATACAGCATACCAAATTGCAATGTCCAAGTCCCGGGTCAACCACTACCAAGATTTGCCCCTACATCCCTCCATACCGCCACACCCACAAGGGATTACTCACAGCTCAGCTAATCCCCTCAGCCACCCGGCCTAGCTGAATCATTCTCTCCCTTAAACTATTCCTGAAACTCTTTCAATGCACATGAAAATCACTATGCTACTGGGCATAAGGCTGTCTGGTGGATTTTAATTTTCAAATAATGTCACTTCAGAGCCTATAGATTTCCTGGATCTACGGGTCATTGCTTTGCAGCCTTTTATCTCCCCAGACACTAGCTGTTACCTGAAGAAGCAGGATGCCGATTCAGAACCACCTAACCCCAAAATGAATGCAGTTGGCAAACTCTACTTTATCTTAGACTCCTTCCAGAACCCTCCGCTCCGTTCTCCATCAGCACCAGCACTTTCAATGCCGATGTGGGCAGCCTGGGTTCTATGAGCTCTGGTTGATCTTGTCTTCTGACTGGCTTCCCAGGACGGATGCAGCAGCTACAGTTCTGGGGCTGCTGCTTGTTCAAATGCTGTTCTCACAGGTTCAGATCAGAACCTACCATTTGACAGGGCCTGTAGAACACAGTTCAGAGACCCAGAAGCACCTCCACCCCCACTCTCCTTTCTCCTCTCAGAGAGCCCAGAATCTGGAAACCTTCAGAGTCATGCCAGAAAAGGCAGTGCTGAGCCCAAAGTCCCTGGCACTAAGCTAGAGGAATTTCCACACACCCATAATACCAACACGTGCCTCAGTGGCTCATGCTTATTTTATTGTGTCTCTCTGCTCCACTACATGTAAGCTAGTGAGAGACCAAATCCACCTCGCCTGTGTGCAATCAAATACATGGTGTGTTATGTAATGCAATGCATCCTGTCTCAAATATTGAGTAAATGAATGAGTGAGTGAATGAAAGTCACCATGGAAGGTGTACAGGAAGGCTGAGTCATAGGTAATCATGGAGTCCTGGAACTCCTCCCGGAAAAACTCTTCACATCTTCCCAGTGTGCTGTGGAGAGCCTGGGAAGGGAAATTGCGAGGAACTTCCCAACTCGGCACTTTCTGAAGGGAGGAAGAAAAGAAGGAGAGAAAGGAGAGGAGGGAGGAAAGTGGGGGGAGGAAACAGTTGGGGAGCTGCTTGGATCCTTCCCCCACCCCTGGCAACTATGTGGGGAAGTCCACAGCTGTGACAGGAAGGATCACACCTCCATGTAGCACTATACCTCTGCCAAGGGCACGAGGATGACGCTGAGAGTCCAGTATCGGTGCCCCTCCCGCTCAGAGCTGAGCCACTAAAGTGCACACCCTCCACACGTGCCATAAGTGACTCTCCTCCATCACATGGGACTCAATCTTCTAAGAAATTCTAGTAAGAGGGTCTTGGCTGCTCCAGAGAGTTCAGTCTCTTAGCTTCAAAAACTCATTCATCTCTCCTTGTAACTATTTAACTCTCACGTCCCAGGTGCTGATGGAAAAGTTGTACTCCCACCTGTCATATCTTCAAAAAGATCTAGAAAATGGAATTGTTTTAATATTAGAGATTCGTCCAAAATCAAAATGAAATTCAAAGGGAAAGTAGTATTGAGCCATCAATTCCCAGGTTGCAGACAGCATCAGGTCACCTCCATTAGATGAGATACACCCAGCATCACCATCAGCCTCGCAAATTCCTTCAACAACATCATTTTGATCAAGCCCATCAACTGTCAGTCACATCTTCAGAACGTCCTTAGCTAATCCTGGCAGTCCTGGCAGATGAGCCCTCCTCTCTTTGTAGTTTTATTGTCTTCAGATGAATGGTGTGTGTCCTCTTCTCCCTCAGGTACTTTCATCCACTCCCCTCCTACCCAGGGACTACATGTTCCCGGAGCACCAGTGAGGTTCCTTCAGTCACCCTGTCTTCTCTGACCTCCTTTAACCCATTTCCATGCACGGCTCACTCTAAATGCCCAGTGTTCCTACTCAGACACCCCCATCCCAGAACACATCTGCTTGCCCAATTTCCGAAAGAGACATACTGAGTTTGGGAGGAAGAAGGCTGGCACCCAAGGAACTGCACTGCATGGTTAAACTTATATTGCAGCATGTACACATGGATTCAGACTCTTTAATCATGTCTGCCCAGTTATGTGGCCGTGTCACAGTCAACTCTGAATTCCACAGCCGAGAATAAGACGTGGCCTCTGTTGAACATGTATTGTTGCCTAAGCAGAAGACAGGCAAATGCCAGGTCTTGATTCCCTTTTGTTGTCACATGACAGGAAGCTGAAAGCCTGGCGCTGAGCTGGGGATGCTCGGTACTATGAACTTCCTCTGGTACGCTCCTCCTGTGCGTCACAGACCGGCAGTCCTCAGTCTACAGGATCTTCTAGCTTCCATGAAATCAGATGTACATTTAACTGGAGGCAGCTCTTGAGCTAGAAAGACTGGGGGGGGGGGCCCAGCCCCCCTCCCTCAGAGGAGGGGAAGCAGAGGGTATGGAAGGAAGATAACAGGAAGATAATGGGGTGG